ACTTGAGGTACCGGAAGCTCATCTTGCTCAACATCTTCAACCTCCTCCCCCGCCAAGGCATTGCCAAGAGGGTCATTTCCGTTTAGAGCCATGTGTACCTGATGGATCAACACAAACAAAATTAGTGAAAAGAAGGAAAGAGAAGGAAAACACAAAACTAGCTACACAAATAGTCAACACCGTAAGCTCCCCGGCAACGGAGCCAAAAAGTGATTAGGTCGCAGCGGACTCAACCATAGGAAGAGTGGGCGCTAATACTTTTACCCAATAGTGGTATCGGGGTCAATTTCCACAGGGAGCTAGAAAGGGAGTTAGATATTTGTTTAGCCTAGAATTGCATGTTTGCTTCTAATTGATCTTCTATCATTTTTGGGTTTTTGTGATTATCAACTACAATTTAACAACTACTAATTATAGCTAAATTATGCTAAGATAGTAACTCTAGGTTGTATGCAAGATAGAGAAAGACACTAGGGTCGTGGCATTTACCTAGGTGGTCAACTAACGGGTCGAGATTCCTAATACGAGAATGATGATTATGGGGCTTATGATATAACCGTTGCACGATAGCATTCACTCTCACACCTCTCAGTAGAAAGAGTGATTTTGCCCAATTGACTCTCTCGAGACCAATTGGGTAGGCTAACAAACCAAGCAACTTAGGGTTCAAGTTGGGTAATCACTCTCTCGAGGTCTTACCTGTTAATTGGGACTACCATTCTCATGGGTCCATCCCAATTCCTTGTTGGGTTAACTTTGGAGTCATAGACACTCTTTCTCAAGAAGAGTCAAGACTCACTAAGCTAGACTTAGTGTTTGCAACCACCAAATCCTAGTTAAAACATAAAATCAACCCAAATATCAAACACCCAACATCATTCAAGCACTAAACAATCACACCCATTAATTATCCACACTAGGGTTGAGCCACAACCCTAGCTAATGGGTTTAGCTAGACATAATGGCAACAGAAATTAAAGAAGAAGTAGATAAAATCAACATAATAATTAACTAGGAAGTTAATCTACACGAATTCACGTTAAAACAAGGTTAAAATGCCCAAAATAGGCTAAAACTTGAATCTCACGAGTGCTGCTGCTATCTGATGTCTAAAACTTAACCTAGAAATAATAAAATATTCTATTTATACTATACCAGAAAAATCGAACAAAAATACCCCTGCGGGTAAATGCAGCGCGGCCGCGTAGGGGTCTTGGCCTTCTATCATTCACTTCTGGAACTGGGGATGCGGACCGCACAAAGAAGTAGCGCGGCCGCACAGGCTAATGAGCGCGGACCGCACAACATTGAAGCGCGACCGCGTAGACACCAGCACTGACCGCGTAGAAATGAGCGCTGACCGCGCTTGGAGACTCCTGAAATGGGTGCTCTCTGAATCTCCTAGAGCGGCCGCGCAACAAATCAGTGCGGTCCGCGCTAGGTCCTCATGTCCCTACTTCAATGATTTTTGATGCTTGAGCAGGTTTCACTCCGTTTCGAGTTGGTTCTTGACTTTCGTCATCTTGTCGCTCAAACGTGCAATCAAGCGCACTTTGTAAGCATTCTGAGTCTATTTCATGACAATTCATACATAAGGCATAGGCAAGTATGGGCATAAAACGTGTTAAAATCACAGTTATCAGAGAGCACCTGAGCGGGAGCAGGAGCAGGCTCATTTGGAAAATCATTTCTAGCCAAAGGGTTTTTGGGAACTATCTCCTCCACGGTAGGAAAGCTATCATCCTCTTCAGCCATCAATTCCTCACCGCCGGGAGGAAGGGCCACCGATAAGGGAGTGGCATCGAAAACTTCATCATGAATGTGAGGGGGTTGTGACATATTCCAACAATGAAACGTATCCTACCAAGCCAGAAGAAGAAGATAAAAACTGGGTGAGAAAGAGGGGAATGGAATCGAAGAAGCAAAATCAGGAGCAGAAATTGGGGAAGAAGATCAAAGAAGAACAGTACTCATGCAAAGTAAAGGATGGTGAAAACTTCTGAAAAATGGCAAAGGATTGTCGATGGCACCAAAACCAAAGCGGCAGACGCACAGACGCTGCCTCGGGAAAATGCGTAATGATGACGCGCGTGGCCATGACGTCACCCCATGATAGCCACACCAACCACAACTTCACTGGTCGTGCGTTCTCTCGACCTCGGCCAATCCGACTTATTCAACACAGCCAAATTTCTCCTAAACGGAAGCGAATCAGGTCCGTTTATCGAGGGCGTGCAGGACCACGACCTCAACAAGCGGAGGAACTAACTATATTGGTCTAAATTTGGCAACTTGGTAATAGTAGATAAACGGGACCAAGGACGTGGTCGACCACGGTGTAATAGCGGGAAGCCGTCCTCGAGAGGGCTGTTGTCAAGGACGAGCAGCTAAAGTGAAGAAATAACGGTAGGATAGGTTCAGATATGGACACAAGGAATATTCCTTTGGATATTCCTTGTTTTGTACTTTTTCGGGTTTCTTGGAAATATCCCTTATAAATAGGAAGAGATAGAGAACAAAAAGGGGGATCTTCACGTCTGATGATAAGAACACTTTTGTAAAGAGTTGACAAAGAGAAATATATAACTATTGTCTTGTTCACTGACTACTTGACTCAACACATATTATTCACTCTGTTTGTTAGATCCGAGGATCCATCATCCATCTTCACTTCCCATCCTTCCACGTTACTGTCAGGTGGAAGAATCATCCAAGTCACATAATATTTGGGGTGATAAATTCCCTCTTACTACATTTATTGTCATTGTCTACATTTATTGCATGTTCTTATTATTGCAGCATTCATTGATAATCATTGAGCTCATATATAATATTCACTACCCTTAGACATTATCCGTACAATCGATATCCCTCAACATTAGATCTAGAGTTTATTATATTTAACTAAGATTCATCCTCTGCTTTATCAATAATTAGTTTAACGAAAGCTCAACACTTTTTTGTTAAACACAAAAAAAACAAGGATTTTTGAGAAACAAAAAGAAAGAAAACACTTTTCACACGGTGCTCTCCCCAACCCGAAGCTCAAATGCTGTTGAAGCTGCCGTCAAAAGTAAGCAAACAAGAATATGTTCTTTATGCGATGAGAGAGAAAAAAATGCTATGCTACAAGTGAGACTCTACTTTATGTGCCATGTGGCCAAATTGTGCTCAATATGCACATTATGAAGCGAGTTTGGACAAGTTATACTCCATCCGCTTCAATTTATGTGGATATATTTGAGTGGGCATAATAGTTTAAGAAAAAAGAGAAACTTTTGAATTTGTGGTATAAAATGAGGTACATATATTTTATGTGGCTATAAATTATTGCATAAAGATATTTTATTTCTAAATATAGAAATGTGTCATTCTTTTTGACACGGATTAAAAAGAAAATAAGTTCACATAAATTGAAACGTAAAGAGTACTATCTAAGTGACAAGTTTTACCAATTTAAGGGGCTATCCAAGTATTTCACCCTTTTATATACTCTTTTATTCCGTCTCAATTTATGTGACACATTTTGTTTCTCGGATAAAACCTATTTATGTAAATTTTGGTTAGTATTTTTATCATATTGACATGAAAAGAACTACGACTTTTATTACAAACAACGCATTTTATTCATCTTCAAAAGAGTACATTGAGCTGAGGGACTAGCAACATCTCCTCCCTAGTTCATCTTGAAAGATAGACGCAGCTATCTTTTTACATTTTGAGATGAGGTAAATGCATTTGAGCTGGGAAGGCAACAACATTGTGAAGTATACATAAATGCTCCATCCTATACAAAAGTTACCTCTAGACTAATTACCTTATTACTATACAAAAACATGATGATTATGACGGTTGAAATGAAATGTTGCTTTTCTTCAATCTGGACCTTCGAAAGGAAGGGAAAGACCATATGTCCATGTTCATCAGGTCTCTAAGTTGATGAGGGAATTCAGCAAATTCATGAAATTTTTTAGAATGAGCGAGAGTATGGCTAAAATTTCGTATAGTTTTAAATATCTTAATTTTGACTTTAAGTTACTAAGTTTTTCTAACTTAATTTAACTTTTAATATTAGTCAAATTAACTTTCAAAAAAAGTTAAAAGTATTACATAAATTGGACCAAAGAAGTAATTGTCCTGCTATCTGGTCTAATCAAATCAAAAGTAACCATATGCTTGGAAACTAACATTGCTTTTTGGCTTGGATAGAGAAGGAACAAAGTAAGCTGTCGAAAATTCCATTTTCTTTTCGGGAGCTTTCATTATGGTGGATATTATATTCCATTTGTTTCGGTTATAGGGCCTAATTTTCTTTTTAATTCGTTTAAAAAAAATAAGCTTAACGGAAAATTAACTTAAATATTCATTTTAGATTTAATGAAAAGATTTGATATCCATACAATGTTACGATATATTTAAGATCGTAAGTTTCGAATGTCATATAATCACATATATAACACGCTTAAAACCATAGTCTCAAAATTCTTCATTAGTTTATTTCTTTTTTAAATTCAATATCTAATTAAATAAATTCACATAAATTGAAATGACTGGCATACTCTCTATACTCCAAAAATTATTTTCTTATTTGTTTGTTTAAGAAGAAAGTGATATGTTTTTAAATTCAAAAATAATTCGGCTTGAACTTTTCATTTTATTCTTAATGATAAGCATGTAGCGACAAATGTTATTATATATTTAAAATCACGAGTTTCAAAGATCTTACAATGACAGAAATAATATATATATATATATATATATATATATATATAAAAGATCATAAATCTTAAAAGTCTTTATTACTTTCTTAAATTCCTTAATTACGACATAAAAAGTGATAGCCGGACAAAAAAAAATATTTATACATGATAGGAGTATTTATTTGTGAATTTCGCAAAAATAGGTAAAGCAAGCTATTAATCGAAAAATAAGCAGCAGGACTAATTAAAGACTAATATGTGAGGCAAGCTGTTGGTTCTCTCTTCTATATATATAAAGATAGACACAAGCTTTAAGGAGGGCATGTAAAAGCCAAGTAGCAAATTAATTAAATCATACTACTTCCCTTCAATATATACGTAGCTTTCTGATGCAAGCGGTCTAATTAATTCCTTTTTCTTTACAAATGAGCACAGAAGACAGTAATGTGTCTTCTTCTCAGACGAGGACTGATACTGAAACAAGTCGTCGTCGTCGTCGATGGTCATATGACGTTTTCTTGAGTTTTAGAGGTGAAGATACTCGAAAAAGTTTTGTTGATCACCTTTACACCACTTTGCATGAAAAGGGTATTCATGCATTTCGAGACGACATAGAGTTACGGAGGGGGAAATTAATTTCCCCTGAACTCCGTAACGCTATTGAAAAGTCTAGGTTTGCAGTTGTCATTTTCTCACAAAACTACGCCAATTCCTCCTGGTGTTTGGAGGAATTGACGAAGATTGTTGACTGCACAAAGCATAGAGGGCAAACGCTGATGCCTGTCTTCTACAGCGTGGATCCTTCAGTTGTGAGAAAACAGAAGGGGAGTTATGAAGAAGCTTTCGCAGAACATGAAAAGAATTTCGAGGAAAACAAGATTCAAGAATGGAGGGATGCTTTAAAGGAGGCAGCTAACATCTCTGGATATGACGTCCAACACATGGAAGATGGGTAAGCAGAAATCCAACTCTTTAATTTGGTGTTCAATTACTTTCTTGTTTTTTTCTTTTTCTTTTAAAACGTAAATAAAATACTGTAGACTGTAGTGGTAGAAAGCCAATATATTACGCCACCCAATTTTCTCTTCTTTTCGAAAGTTAAGTTGGTCTTTGGGCTATCCGGGATGCATTTACGCTGTTATATGTGAATCTGATATTTTTGATTCTTTGTACTTTAGTAGTATGTCTCTCATGGCCTATTTGACCAAGCTTGTAAAATCAAGTTATTGTTAACTTTTTAAAAAAGTAGTTTTTGGAGAGGAGCTATTTTTTTTGCTTCTAGAAATTGCTTCGGCTTCTATCCGAAAATATTTTTTTTCTTTCTGGCCAAACACCCTTACCTATGGAAAACAGTATTTTTGGCCAAAAAAAAGTGATTTTGACCAAAAAGAAGCTTGGCCAACAGACTATCAGTTTGCTCTCTCCGTTCCACTTTATTTGACATAGTTAGACTCGTCACAGAGTTTAAACAAGAGATTAAAGAAAGAATTATAAAATTTATGGTCTTAAATAATACCGCAATATTTGTATGATTATAATACTTCTGAAATATCTGTAGTCTTAAACATGTCACATAATATTTATTTGATTATATTAAATACTTCTCATTAAGAAAATATAAAAAATGTGTAGAATGACTAATAAGGAGATAGTGCTAAATAGAGTGGAACTAAGGAGGTGGTATTTCTCTTTTCTACAATATGGTAAATAAATTAATATCGACTTTGGACAATTTTCACATTAGAAGCTAGCTTCAGGGTTGAGTTATGCCTAAGGACCATTTCTTATCATAAAAAAGAGCCAGACTCATCCTTGTTATTGTGTTTTTCAATGTTGGGCCCTATATTATATTATTCACGCTCCAATTGGTGTCAAGTGCCCCGCATTTGTTGATAGCTCTATCAATCATTTTAACCATAATTTAGGAAGCTTTTTAGCTAGATAAATCTAGAATTTAGATATTATGTCCTAGGACAATTATACACATCAAAGTAACTATATGAAGATATAGAGACAAGGAGAAACAGGAGTTAAACAAGTTTATCACTTTATTTATAAGGTTAAAGGGAGTCTTTTTGTTAATTTTTTCATTGGTTGAGGATAAATATTTTCTTATATGATTTTGCGCAATTCTCTCTTCATTAGGTAGTTTTGAAGTTGAGTTAGGTACAACAACTATTTTTATTATGGTATAAGAATCAGGAATTATATCCCTGCATACGGAGAGAAAGAAAGAGAGAGATCACATATATGCCATAGGGGAGCAACCACTATACTCAAGTGTTTTAGTGTTATTGGCTCTATAACCTTCTTTGTTATTTCACTTTTTACAAATCATTGTTTTATTAAAAAGAAAAAAAGCTAAAAAAAACTGGAAAGCTTAAATTTTTACCCTTATTTAGCCTAGTAAATGCGTTATGATGTTGTTGTCCATGAGGTACAGTAGTACTTGAGATGATGCCCAGTTTTAGGTTTTTTTTTTTTTTTTTTTTTGAGCTGTACAAAGATTACTTGGTAATTAATAAAAAATTATCTACTCAAAAAAAGATAAAAGTGCATTTAACCGGATATTTTGAAAATTTTAGATTAAATAATCTCACAAGTCAATATTAGACTACATATCTGAATGTTATGTTGCGCTACCCAACATTAGGCTACACAATACTGGACATGTTGTGCTATTTCACTTTTTCGATTTCCAGCCCTCAATTTTAGCTTTTGAGATTGGATCTATATCAATGTTTTTAAAAGGCGGGGGCGTGAGGCGAGACGTTTTATCTCTGACAAGGCGAAGCGTAAGCCCGGAGACATGGGGCGTAAGTCCCACGTATCTTTAAATTTTACTAATTTTAAAAATTTTAAAATGGTACTCCCTCAGTTCCAGTTTATGTGAACCTATTTCCTTTTTGGTCCGTTCCAAAAAGAATGACCCCTTTCTAAATTTGGTAACAATTTAGTTTAAACTTACAATTCTACCCTTAATGAGAAGCTTTTATAACCACATAAATACTCTGGGCCCCTTTTTGACTTGTTTAGGACCACAAATTCCAAAAGTCTTCATTATTTCTTAAACTCGGTGCCCAGTCAAACAGGTTCACATAAATTGGAACGGAGGGAGTATATAAAATAAAAAATAATTATAAAAATTACATTAAAATCAAAAAATTATTACAAATAATCTATTTAAAATATTTATAAAGTATAATTCAACTATGAATAATACGAAAAGTATGACATATATCATAATATGCAAATTAGTTGTAACGTCATTACAACTCAAACATCAAAAGTAATGTATTCGATACGAAATCTTATATGGATCTCTTAAGGAGTAATGAATCTTGAAAGAATTCGATATAATAATTTGATATTTTTCTTAAAATACTCCTTTTATTTAATATGCTTTCTATTTGAAAAAGAATCAATATAAAAACATAATTCACAATTTCAATATGATTCTCTAGCATCATTTAATTTTAAGTTTCAACAAGTTAATAAAGTGACATAATTCACCACACAATACCATGATAACTAATTATTTGTAAATAGTTACTAGTTAATACTGAGCTATTAAATTAATAAGTATTGTATCTCATAAACGTGAAAAAAAACAATATTTAGAAAAATAATTATAAAAAAATTATGGACTATTATATATTAAAGACATAACAAAAGTTAATAAATAAATACTTTTTAAATGAAAGATTTATTTAAAATTAACTATCATAGCAGTCCTAGTGGATAACGTACAATAATTTTTATTTTAATTATGACATAAGATACTCTCAACTTAATGATTTATGATTAAGAAAAAGTAATTTTGAATAGTCAACGATTTTTTAAGAAAATTTGAGGATTTACAAGGTTAGTTACATACAATTGCAAAAAGTTCTATTAGGCGAGCTCAGTACGCTGGGTACTGGGCGTGTTCTGGGCTTAAGCCCCGATGGTCGAGGCATAAGTCTCACGGACTAAGCCCAAACATAAGCCCAAGGGTATTTTACGAGTGCTCCGCCCGAGCAAGTCCCAATGCTGCCTTTTAAAACAGAGATCTTAATATAGTTTTACAGCATAATTAATTTTTATTTTATTAACTTTTGAGTTTGAATTAGACAATGTCATTGTTTTGGCAGCATTGTTTTTTCTTTTGGGTACACTAGAAAAAGCTAAACAAATTTAAAGTCTTGTGACATAGTTGGGTAAGCTTCATGACAAATTTGATGTTTAATACTCAAATTTGCTGTTACATCTGGCTAATTTCTAGATATGCCTACAAATTAATTCCGGGATCATTTGAAAAAGAAGAACTTGCGCAGGGTTTTTAGTTGATAATTTTGGCCCTAACACTTCCCTGGAACTTCTTAATACCCATATAATCCCCAAATTAAAGTACTGCCAAAGAGCTATACTAATCGAAATTTCAGTGGATAATAATAATTCTGTCATTAGTAGACATTTCACTGTACTTGTCCCCATTTTAATTCAGGCATGAGTCAAGGTGCATTAGACAAATTGCAGTGGCAATTTTGAACAAGTTGGGCCATGTACGACCTAAAATTGCAGAAAATCTAGTCGGAATCGAGCCCCAAGTAGAAAACTTAATATCTCTGCTGAATACAAATTCTGAGACTGATGTTCGCATAATTGGGATATGGGGTATGGGAGGAATCGGCAAATCAACCATTGCACGAGCTGTTTTTGATCAACTTCAAGAAATGTTTGAAGGTGGCTGCTTTCTTGATAATGTTAGAGAAGCTGCATCCAAATTTGGACTGCAAGCTTTGGCAGAAAAATTGCTTTCAGAGACACTGAAAGAGACCAAAGACAATCTTTACACCAGCACCAACTTACTGATGAACAGATTGAGCAATAAAAAAGTGATGATCGTTCTCGACGACGTGGATCAAGATGAGCAGATAGAAAACTTGATTGCTGGAGGACACAAAGGGTTCGGGCCTGGTAGTAGAATTATTATCACAACAAGAAACAAGCAATTGCTATCGGCTTGTGGAGTGGACCAAGTGTATGAAGTTAGCCTATTAGGAACTAATGAGGCTTTGATGCTCTTCAACAGGTTCGCCTTCAAGGAAGCTCAACCGCAGGATCATTTCATGGAACTAGCATTACGAGTGGTGAAATGTGCTTGGGGACTCCCGTTGGCTCTCAAAGTTTTGGGATGTTTTTTGCACAAAAGAGAAAAAGAAGAATGGGAAAGCGAGTTGACGAGGTTGGAAGGTATTCCTCATGATGATGTGATAGGGAAACTTAAATTGAGCATTGATGCATTGAATGATTTAGACAAGCAAATATTGCTTGATATTGCTTGTTTCTTTAAGGGGAAACGAAGAGAACCTGTGGTCAAAAAATTCCATGCTTTCGGTTTCAAACCTGAAATTGGAATACCAGTGCTTGTTCAAAGATCTTTGTTATCTATATCTGATGATGACAGATTTCAGATGCATGATTTAGTTCAAGAAACTGCTTGGTACATGGTTCGCCAGGGACAAACAAAAGAGAAATACAGCAGGTTGTGGATTCCCGACGACATATGTGATGTTATGTCAAAGAAATCGGTAAGTTTTGCTAGCTAATAGCACCTTACACACTACATAATATATTCAACTGCTGCATAATTTACAATAGTACAATTTCAGGCAACAGTGTGTTACTTTCTAAAAAAAGGGGCAGCCCCATACACAAAGCATCCCACATTCACACAGGCAGGGTCTGGGGAAGAGCCGCACCCCATGGGGTGTGATGTAAACAGCCTACCGTAATGCAAGCATTAGTAGCTATTTCCACGGCCCGAACCTGTGACCTATAGGTCACAGTGTGTTACTTTCTAACTTTCAATATTAGAACAGAGTTCTTTAGTTAACAGCAAGCACCTAGAGTCCTTGACATATACCGGCTACATTATTACTCATAAATGCTCTTATATGATATGCAGGGTACAGAAGCGATTCAGGCAATAATATTGACTTACCCACAAAAAGAGAAATTGAACTTATCATCACAGGCATTAAAAGGTATGGAAAATCTACGTCTGCTTAAAATCCGCAATGCCTACTTCAGTAGAGGTCCAAGTTACCTTCCGAATGAGTTACAATGGCTCAACTGGCACAAGTTTCCCTCAACCTCACTTCCACAAGACTTTGAGGGAGAAAAGCTTGTCGGACTCAAGTTAAGTCGTGGCCAAATTTCACAACTATGGCCAGAACCTAAGGTACCCTTTGCCATCTGAAACATTGTTTTTCGCTGAAGATGTTTCAATTTTTTTCTTTGTTACAATAGGGAGCATAGCTTAATACTGTACAAACTAAACTCTCTACCCTATCTCAACTGTATTGAGGATTTTATTGCATACTTTCGATAGAAACTACTGCTTCTCTTACAATGCGACTTCATATTTAAGGTTTCGTTTCTATCGGTACTGTACCAATTATTTGACTAGCAATGTTCTTAATTAATTATAGTGAGTTTTTGGTAAATTTAATCATTCATATGTTTCATCAAAGAAACATCAAATTAACAGCAAATCAAACAAGCTAGTTGGCTTTAAAACTAGAATACAAAACAACAACAAAAATCATTTGATTGTTTCTCACTCTTTTTGGTTTTTGACTTGAGCAGAACCTTGAGCAGTTGAAGTATTTGAATCTCAGCTACTCCAATGGGCTAACTACCACTCCAGATTTCAGCATGATGCCAAATCTTGAAAAGTTGAATCTTAGCAACTGTAAATACTTGGTAGTAGTTCATGAGTCAATTGGAACACTTGAAAGGCTTAAATACTTGAATATGTCTCACTGCTCAAAGCTGAGTCGTCTTCCGAATACCATTCACCTTGAATCTTTGGAAACTTTTCTTCTGTGGGACTGCACCAATCTTGAAAATTTTCCTCAAGTTATTGGCTTAATGCCAAATCTTCCAGAACTTCACTTGGAAGGGACTGCTATTAAAGAGCTACCCGACTCCCTCATAAATATCAGTGGCCTTGTGTCCATAAACCTCAGTAATTGCAAAAGCCTGGAAAATATAACCTACAGCATCTGCGGTTTGAGATGTCTCAGGAGTCTTAATTTCTCTGGCTGTTCAAAACTCGAGTCATTGCCCGAAACTCTTGGCCAATTGGAAACTTTGGAAGAAGTCCTTGTGGATGGAACTGCAATTACCAAGCTACCATCAACTATCTCCAAAATGGGAAACTTGAAAATCCTTTCTTTCAGTGGATGCAAGAATATTAAGAAAAAGGACACGTCATTTGGAGTGGCAAGTTTAAGCAAGTTCACTTCAATGACAAATGTCAAGAATCTTATGAAACGATCAGATGCTGAGAAAAAGAAGCCACAAGCAGCACGGCCATCCTTATCTGGTTTGCGTTACTTGAAGAAATTAGACCTCAGTGACTCTGATTTAGTAGATGAAGTTGCTGCTGATGTTTGGCATTTGGCCTCATTGGAGGAGTTAAATTTGAGCCGAAATAATTTTGTGCAATTTCCTTCAAGAATATCTGGACTCCCAGGATTCAAAGTCCTGAAATTGGAAGAATGCAAGAACCTTGAAGTACTGCCTGATCTTCCATTGAGTATTGCTGTGATAGAGGCAAACGAGTGTCCGGCTCTGCACACTCTTGGAAATCTGTCAACCCAACATGCATTCTTAAGGAAGGTTTCCTTTTCCAATTGTCACAAATTGCACGAACAAAGCAAGAAAACCGGCATTTGTGCTGCGGATTTGTTGTTGGAACTGCTACTTCAGGTACGTATGCCTCTCCACCCACGCTGTTTTTCAGCGTATATGCTTGCACTATATATTCCACATTTATGTATCTGTTACTCCATTTACCTGACATGTAGTGCTGGAATTATATTATATAAAGCACCAAGCAACAGAAATACCATAATGACAATATTCACTGCCACTTGGATTTTGTGCAACAGGGGCACTCCATCATATATGGTCGATTCAGTATACTGATTGCTGGAGGAAAAATCCCCGTGTGGTTTGATCATCAGAAAATAGGCGGTTCTATCTCAGTCCAGCTACCTTCAGATTGGCAAGATAACATTGTGGGAATTGCAGTGTGTTTCATTTTGGAAAGCTTTATTCCAAAGTCAAGACTAGGTGTTACTTTCAAGTTGGTTAGCCCAGACCACAGAGAATACACATCTGAAAATGCACCTTCTGCTGCTTCAAAGATGGGAGAAGTGTACGATTCGGATCACGTGTGGATAACTTATATCTCTTTCAATCTATTTCGGCTCCTCTTCCCTGATTTCACAACTGAAGATTGGACTAAAGTTTGTGGTAACCTTTCAATTAGAATAAGGCAGGATCCGTGGACAAAGGTAAGGAGGTGTGGAATTCAGCCTGTGTACAAACAAGATTTGAGCACATTGGCAGCTGAACGCGCGGGGGTTAATAAAGATTCAGTTGGGAGCAAAGAATTAGTGGTGTATGAAGGAGGAGGTAAAGAAAGTAAAGAAGAAGCTGGGATCAAAGAGGATATTGCTGCACTTATGGCTGGGGTTACTGAATTGAATTGGGATGTTGACCCCATTGAGCAAGATACCACTCAGCTCATGAATTTGAGGAAATCAATTGCCTATAAAATTCAAAAGACTCTCACTTTTGAATGCTAGCATCAGCACTTGTTGGTTGATGATTCTTGCTCAACTTACGTTGGTTTGTTTGTTTGTTTGGCTTGCGTTTGCTAATGAAACTAAGAGAATAAGTAAGTGACTATTGCCTTTATTTTGTTGAATTGATTGGCTTGTTGTACCATAAGAAAGAAAAAATAATCTAAGTTTGGTTTGTATCTTAATTTGTGTGCTTTGTGTGTTTTTCTATTTACCTAATTGTAATTGTGTCTACTTGTATAAATTGAAGAGTGCTTATATTTTGTTAAAATCTCTAGTGAACTGGATTTATAGTTTTTTTCATATAGGCTAGCATGAGATACCATATTACACGAACTAATAGAATCTGCCTCAAGGGTGTGTTTGGTAGGAATGAGAACATTTTTATTCATACCAAACACACCCCAAACTAAAAATTTACTTGCCTAGGTAAGCGGTGTAGTTTTCCAGTGTCATAAAAGGCAAAATTTTGCAACTTGTATCTACAAAAAAATTTCCTAATTAAAGCACACGCTATTTAGAGGTAAAAAAAACACTTAATCTTAATAACGAAAGAATAATATTGAATCCTGTTGACTGTCCAAACATGTTTTAATAGGAGTATATAAACTATTGAAAGATATTAAAGGAAAAGATAAATATACAGTTGTAACGTCAAATACTACACCACCTGGGCAAAGGAATTCGCCATTACACCTTCCCGTCTCTTGTCACCTCATAGCAGTATAGTTTGGCCCAATGAGGATAATGAGTCATTTGCTTCAAGGCAAAAGGTACAAAGAAGACTTACCTTGGTCCAAACTACTAGGGTCTCAGTCTTTGTCATGACATTTTTTTTGTTTTTGCAAATCTTCCAGCTAGTTACGGAAGAAGCAACTTGTAATCCGGGTCGGATGTAGCCTTTAGGCTACGAGGTCGACTGAATCCATAACTTTTGATATGAAGTATGAATTTATATATAAAAATCTATTAAATTTCAACAAATATTAGATCTGAACCAATAGTATTATGAACTCAATGCTGAGAATCTTCAATATTGAACCCATTAAATTTAAAGTTTGGATTCACATCTACTTGTAATGGAATCTAATCCACCTTGTTCTTCGCATTCTTTATAGTAGAATATGTTTTAGAGTGAGACCTTGAAATATGATATTCGTAATACTAAATAGAATAGCTTGGGAGGGTACCAACAATTATGCTGAAACTGAAGCAGCCAAGATAGGAGTTCAATGGTGCTTAGACAATGGAATTCCCAGAGTTCATTTAGAAGCAGATTCTGCACTTCTTGTTAGGTGGCTGTCAGAGGATAATGATTCTCCATGGATTTTGAAAGAAAAGATTTCCCACCTAAGGCTTCTGTGCTCTCAATTTGAGGGATTCAAAGTTTCTCATGTGTATAGAGAAGCAAACTGCCCTGCTGACTCCCTATCAAAACTCAGCCATGACCTCAACATTCTAACAAATTTCACCACAGCTTCCTCTCTCCCAACCCACATTAGAGGTCAAGTTCTCCATGACCAATTGGGTACCCCAGCTTTCAGGCACAAGAAAACCAACATGCTGATAGTATCCTCTCAAAATGCAAGCTCCTCTTCAACGTCTAATGGTTATGGTTGAAACATCATCAAAGCAGGGGTTCCAGTTAGCAGTCCAAATGAAATACCTCATGCACCATTTTTGGAATCAGTCAGCCAAGACTTATCTTCTAATTCTGTGTGCTTTTTTGCAGGTTCCATTCCATTATGAACCTTACATTCCTTTGTGGCTGTTTCAGGGAGTGGTATTAGCATACATGTTCACCCTCATGAAACCACAACATAGGAATGAAGTAGGATATACAGGGAAAGAGGAAATGACTCACTTGGAAACCTACCATCTGAGGCACAATACAGCACACACATACACACACACCCAATCTCATAAAGCAACACCCCAATTCTTCTCCATTCACCACTCAAGACCACCAGATATAACCATATACCCACATCCCCTTGACCAAACAGATAGGATCAACCCAGAAGATATGCAAACCCCTCTCAAACACAGCAGTTCCAAAAAACTGAGCAGAAATGCTCCTTTTTTCACTAATACTGCTTTCCGTTTTGCAGGTTTGCTCCCTTCATGCTCTCCCTTTCAAATGGTATACTATTTGGGAGTGGTATTAGCATTTTCCATGCTCATTCTCCTGGAAACATATCATTTGACTCCCCATCATCAGCCTCAAAGAAGCAGCATCACACAGCTGTAGCAGAAATTGCAGAAACTGCAGAAAGCTGCAGATCCACCTCCAGAAACTACAGAAATTGCAAACATTCCTAAAAACTTAGGAGCAACTCCCTCTCTTGTCACTCAATTGGTATGGATTCTGGGAATGGTATTAACATCCCTGATGTTTAATCTCCTAGAACCAAACCAGTTGATAATCAATCAACATCCCCACAGAAATACCATCACACAGTTGCATCAGCAACAACAAACAGCACCCTCTGATATTGCAGAAACTGCAGGAATTCCTTTATCTTTTTCTATATATTGCATCAGCCCACTCCTCTCATCCACATCTCACTCTCAACCCAAAGAACCACAACAACCAAAGTATCATCATCAGTACTGCTTTTTCCTCTATACATGCAGTCATGGTTCTTTATTCCAAGATTCTTACACCATGAGCACCTATACACCTGAGTGCAGTCAACACAAGAACCTGCACTCAGCTTTTGTGTATAGATTAGGGATCCCAATTGCTCCCCTTTCCCCAGACTCATCTCCAGAATCCACAAGAACCTGGAGATTGAGCCCCCTTTCATTAACAGGTTTTTTGCATTTTGTAGGTTCAGGGAGCTCACTTGATCAATTGGTACAGTTTCTGTTAGTGGTATCAGCATTTCCAATGCTCATTCTGCTGAAACTATATCAGTTGAGCCAAGTCTCTCCTTTCATCTACACACACATATATGCAGATCCAACAACCAACACTATCACCCAGTCAACCCAGCAGGAACAACTGTGCATACAAAAGGAGTTCCCTTATGCATCAGATGTTCTACCATGCTCAGCACTCACAGATTGGATTTCTACATCAGGAAAAGGCTCAATTTTTGGCCCACTCTCTTCTGTCAAATATACCTGGCAGCAGCAGCACAGCTCATCTCCACTTGGAGAATTTTTGTCAACTATCTTCCATTTGGCTTTCCTTGACCTCAATGTCAAAGCTAAGTGGAAGATAGTCCCTCTCTTTGATGTGGTTTATGTACCACCCTTCATAGACTTTTTCTACATGTATAATGTATGTAGTACATGTTGTACATGGAAGGAAACATTACTATCCTTTTGCTTAGCTCACATAGGTTTACTTATGCTTTTGTGTATAGTTGACCTAGGCTTACGAAAACTGTATTTTGTACCACCAATTGGCTATCATTGTTGGATAAACAATTGGTTCCTTCTTACAGGTCTAACATACCATAGTGTTCAGGTGCCACTTGGTTTCCATATGTGGATGACCAAGTGCATTTTCATTTTATTTGTGGAGGTAAGGTTTAGGTCCCCCTCCACTTTTGCTGTATTATATTTCTTATCTATAAAAATCTACTCTAAGCACAATGCCTAGTGGATTCAGTTAAAAAAAATAGAATAGCTTTACACGTGATTTTGCAGTATCCCTTTGTATGACGATCTGATGATGCACCGTTTCAATATTGAGTTCCTATAATAATAGTAACTTCTTGAGACTATATTGATGCCAAATCTCCTAATATTGGTATCAAGAGAGTAATCTTTTTTAGGAATAGCTTCGCCATAAAGAACGAAATCTTAAAAAGATATATAATCTCCGTGATAAAAATCAAAGCGAAAATGAAAATCAGTGAATGGAATAATAGAAGTGTTATGAGTACAGGAGGCCTTTAAAAATGAAACCGAGTCATACATGCATATGGATAAAATCGAATGTCCTTGGCTAGGGTTAGGGGTGGTAAATGGGCGGGTTGGGCTGAATTTGGACGGGTCAAGATGGGTTACGTCAATAAATGGGTCATTGCCCAACCCAACCCAAAGTGTACTTGGGCTAAGATAGGTTGGGTCAAGATGGGCTAAACTATGGGTCATAACCCAACCCGCCCAACTTGACCCATGTTTTAGAATCATGCTCATCTTGCATAAAAAAAAAAACCTTTTACCTTAGAATGTGTAAGTTGAAATTTTTTTAGGGGTGGTGGAAAAAAACGAAAAAAATAGAAAATGGAGGGTGGGTGGGTGGTGCAGAAAACGAAAAAAATAGAAAATTAAAATACAAAAAAAAGTAAATTTTTTTGAGGGGAGGGGTAGGTGGTGCAGGAAAAAACAGAAAATTTAAAATACAAAAAAAAGAAAATAATAAACGTAAGAAATTTTTTTTTTGAGGGGAGGGGATTTTGCTGGGGGGGGGGGGGGAGGGGCAGAGTGGGGGGATGGTGCAGAAAAACAAAAGAACATAAAATTGAAAATACAAAAAAAATAAATAAATTGGGGCAACTAAATAAATTTCTATATAAATTGGGTTAAGATACCTTTTTTTGGGTGAGTTTTATGGGTTGTATTTGGGCTGCTAAATGGGTCAGAATGGGTTATAAAATATAGGAGTTTTTACATTCCTATGCCACATAGGAAACCGTATTACCCTCAATATTTAAGGTTTGACTTAATTACACTTAGTATACCAAATTACCCATTCTATACCATAGTGTATTTTAAGGGTACAATTAATGCAGCGTATATCCCTCCTTAATTCAAGGTACCGTATATCCCACCCCTCCCACGTTTCTCTCTCCCAAACCCTCACCCTCACCCACGTTTTAGTGAGGGATTTCTTTTCTTCATGCCCTCTTTTTTCAAAATCAGCAGAAGCCAAAAAAGAGTCGTCAAAATCAGGAACAGATAGTCTAAAGGGATCGTTTTGTTTGTTAAGGTCCGAAAAGGGTTGAACTTTTTTATCTTCTTCAACCTTTTCACCTGTGGGATACACCATGTTCAAGTAACGAATTTGGGTTTTCAAAATCTTTGACATGGTTGCTGTAATAGGAAAGATACTGACTTTATAAACGTAATCCAAAGAGTGATGTGCGGATATTGTTGAGCGAAAAGCATCTTAAATCCTAGGGTTTAACAGAATAATTTAGAAGGCCTAAAAATAAATTCGAAATGAGATTTTAGTCGTTTTGGATTTGTGAAAACAGAAAACAATGCATCTACATCAGAATACAAATATTCTAACTTCATCTATAAAATATCTACAAACTGGGTATATTGAATTTTAATATCCAATTCCCATTTGATTGTGGTTTAATTGGGATTTCGACATAATTCTGTTTTTTGCAAAAGATTTGTAGAAGTTTTAGTCGTTTTTTGATTTGTGAAAACAGAAAACAAAGCATCTCACATTAGAATACAAATAATCTACAATTTATCTACAAACTGGGTACATTGAATTTTTATATCCAATTCCCATTCAATTGTAGCATAATTGGGATTTTTGACATAATTGCGTTTTTTCATAAGATTTGTAGAAGTTTTAGCCGTTTTTTATTTGTGAAAATAGAAAATAAAGCATCTACAATCAGAATACAAATAATCTACAATTTATCTACAATTTCTGCAATATGTCTTCTTCTTCTTCTTCTTCTTCTTCTTCTTCTTCTTCTTCTTTCTCTTCTTCTTCTTCTTCTCTTTTCTTCGGTTCAATCTGAAATTCAATCAAAACCAAGTCTAATCTTCACCAAAACCCCTCAAAATTGAGATATAAACCTCCAAACCATATTCCGATTATTTTCAACAACACCCAATCCAAACAATAATGATTTTTGAAAACCCAAATTTGAATTCAAAGCTTTCAAGCTTTTTAATGGCTGTCAATGGTGAATTGCTGCTCTCTTTTTTATTGCTTTGTATTACTGAAATTTGCGATTGAGAAAATAGAGAGAGATGTAGAGAGAAATGTCGACGAATAGAGCTTTTGCAGAACTGATTTCTACAATTTGAAATTGAGCTTCTGATTTCGACGAACTGAGGCTTTTGAATTTGTGTCTTAAGCGAAACTATCGAAGAACAGATTCTGAGCTTTTGAACAGATTTGATTTCGACGAATTGAGCTTTTGAACAGATTTGATTTGTAGCTAAATCAATTAGAAGATTCTGTTCCTGAATTTTAGCACGCCTAATTAGGAAGATTCAGGTACTAATAATTAGTATTTAATGGATGGTATAATAATTGTAGGAAAAATATGGACAGGGCGGGTAAATTAGAAACTGTGCACATTTTTGGTAATAAAGTTTCATATATGGTATAGGAAGGAAAAAATCTCTAAAATATAATGGGTTAACTTGGGCTCAGCCCAAATTGACCCATGAGCTAAAATATTTGTAGCCCAACCCATTAATTTCTGGGTGGGTTGGACGGGTTAGATGGGTTTGGGCTCAAATTGCCACCCCTAACTAGGGTCAAATGTCTTTACAAACTTGTTTTTAATTTAGTTTTATGGCTCCATCTCTTCTTTTACTTTTACATATGAAAAATTTGCTTTTATACATAAAAAATCTATCTTTTACACGTAAAAGATCTAAAAATGACACTTTCTTAATTTAAACATTGTAAATGGCAATGAAGGCTCATTCCCTCGTCAACGTTAGTTCTTGTTATCTATTTATGACCAACAAGAAAAGGAAAAAAATTAGACATTTTCATTTTGACTTTTTGGCGTATAATTAAAGAGGAAGATAAATTAAAAGAAACTGAGCTAGACAAAATCGTTTTCTTGTATAAGTAGCTTTCTATTGAATGCTTCAATTGAACAATCACCCTTGAAAGTGAGAGGAGAATCATAGACAAATTATAAGTTACTCATTTTGGCAAGTTAGACATTCTTTTCGATTACTCATTCTTTCTCCCGTTGAAATAGCTCACTGTATATGTACACTAAAACAATGGTAGCCAAATATTACAAATACCATTTTCTCTTTAAGAAACAATTCTGCTATTAATTCGAACATGATAATGCAACAGAAATAACATGCAGCCGTACGTGGTATATATACTGAAAGCTATAAAAAAAAATCTGTAGAAGTCAACTAGTAATTAACAATCCCATGCAAGTTGATCTATGGAATTTACGTTAGTGTAAATTTCACAAGGCATGAGTGCAGAATCCACAAACTCAAAATCGAAGTTAGAGTTGTCAAATGTAACATTCTCCGCCATTTGTCCATTGTTGTTGAACTCATGATTAACCTTGTAGACTTGTTCTTGACAAATATTTTCCTGAAGCTGAAGTAGTTGTGCTCCTTGTTGCTGTACTAATTGCATTTCTTCTTTTCCATTGAATTGCGGTTCAACATCCCACATGCAATTGTCATTTATAATTCCAAACCCTGATGGAGTTAAGGAAGAAGAAGATGACAATAAATTATTGGAACTAGTCTGGTTTTGATGATATTCAATGGTGGCAAGGTTTGAGTTTTCAATATTCGTGGTGGTGGGAAGGCAAATGGGATTCATATAATTGTAAGTAGTAGTGGTGAGTGAGGATTTACATGGATTTGTTTGGGAGTGAGGCAGAGTTATTGTTGTCGTAGTAGCAATAGGAGGCAATATTGATGCTGCGAGACTTGCTTTGATAATGTCCATGGAAATTACATGTTTCCTTGATGATAAATTAGTGAAAACAGAGGTGGAATTTGGATGATTACAAGTCTTGGGTTTGCAGCAGCTGCTTTTGATCTGGTTGTTTTGGTGATGATTACGAGAGAGAAGGTTGTGGGTGTTTGGATCAAAGCCTTGAGCAATAAGCTTCTTTTTTATGGCAGAATTCCAGAAATTCTTGACTTCATTATCAGTTCTACCAGGTAAATGTTTGGCTATTTGTGCCCATCTGTTTCCCAAGATTCTATGAACATCAATTATGGTTCTCTCTTCTTGCTCGCTAAAACAACCCCTTTTCAGATCTGGCCTTAAGTAATTTATCCACCTCAGCCTGCAACTTTTTCCACACCTTTGTAATCCTGCAAAAATCCATACATTAAGTATTTCATTTATAACTAACAGCATATATATAGACATAACTTAAACACAAAATTGAATATATATATATATATATATATACCGGCTAGTTTAGGGACAGAACTCCAGCAGGAGTGGCCATGGGTGGTGATGTGTCTAGTTAGTTTCTCATCTTCTTCTGGAGACCAAAGACCTCTCTTCACTTTCTGTTTGCTGCAGCAGTGATGGCCCATTATTATGCCTTGCCCTAATTCTCACCACTATATATATATGAGCTTCAGCTGCATCTATATATTGGTGGCTGCTTTATTTGGTCACGAATATATGTATTTTTATGTTCCAAGTTAGCTTTTCCTATTTATTAATCCTCATGGTATACAAAATACTTGTCTACAGTACTAAGCACAGAGAGACTACTATCGTGTGTTTTTCTTTCTCCAAATATTAGACAAATGGTTTGACCTAGGTGAAGTAGGCATCTTTTTAACCTATAAAATATTCATTAACATGACAGGAGATACAAAAATATATTACTGTATACATAGAGTAAAGAAAGAGAGATTCTAGAATTTTAAGTTAGGGTGTACTCAGAGAGGACCGCATAGGTCTCATTGAGTGCTTTATGGCAGCTTCTCTAGGCGTTGTCTTCAAATAACATATAGTAGCTAGGTTATACTATACCCTCACTGCAGTTTACGTTATCACTAAATTTTAATTTGAATAGCAGAATCGTTATCATTTCTATTAGATTATCAATTAGTAATGTTTATCAAAATATTTATTTGTACATGGGTATCTATAAGAAAAGACTTGATTGAATATATTGTTTGCTCAAAAAATGTTACACATCTTAAGAGTACAAAACAATATAAATTAATCCCGGGATAATCATAGCAAATCGTAATAATCTGTTGGACCAAATGAAAGAAACTAAAATAAGAACTCAGAAATAGGGGGAGAAGCATTAGAAACCTTTATTGATAATATTTGTTTGGTCTGCCTCTCCATGAAGAGGTTCAGAGCCTTACAATGGTGTTTTTCCCTTCCCATAAGAGGGGTATATTTTCTCGTTTCTCTCTCCTCTCACTAGTGGTCAAGAAGCCCCCCTTTTTTCTAGGGCTACTGCTCCTAGTATTTATAGATGTGAGCTTTGTGAGCTGGCGATAAATGGCCGGGGCCATGCTGAAGTTCCGTCCCCATGGGGGAATGACTGGGTCGTACTCTCGTAGATTAAATCGGACAAGAGTCGAGTCCTGTTACGAATAAGTGGCCATACCACTTCATTAATTATGTCTTAGCTCAGGACGAGACTAACTCCGTTAATTATCGTGGGGTCGAATTTTGACCCATACAGTTAGTCCCTCCGCTTATTGAGGTCGGGCCTTGGCCGAGCTCGATGAGCGGACTTCATCGATTGTGATTTGAAAACAACTCGAATAAGGGTCGATTTATTGGTGGTGGTGGCCTTAGCCGTTTACACGTTGGAGCTGGCCGTAGCCTTTCGTACATTGGAGAGCCTTTCATATATTAGAGATGGCCGTAGCCTTTCATATGTTGAGGTTGGCCGTAGCCTTTCACATATTGGAGATGGCCGTAGCCTTTCATTCATTGGAGATCAAGATGGCCTAAGCCTTTCATATATTGGAGATGGCAGTAGCCTTTCATTCATTGGAGATCAAGATGGCCGTAGCCTTTCATATATTAGAGATGGCCGTAGCCTTTCATATGTTGAGGTTGGCCATAGCCTTTCACATATTGGAGATGGTCGTAGCCTTTCATTCATTGGAGATCAAGATGGTCGTAGCCTTTCATATATTGGAGATGGCCGTGGGGAATGAATATGCGCTGGGTACGTATTTGGTCGTCCAAAATTTTAACGGCGTACGACACTTTCTTTCAGTGTTCGCAGGTCGTAGCGATTGTTCTGACGGCGGTATGCTGGCGGATGGCTGAGAAGCCGCTTTATGGAGCTCGTCATAATGACACTTGCTACGACAGAACCGAACCGTTTTACGGTTGGTCGTGCAGTTAATGATGGCTATTGGGTTTCGCAAAAGCCATTTATGCTGCCTATAAAGGTGAGATGAGGCATTCATTTCTCATATCTTCATTGTTCATCTGAGAGAGAGATTCTGAGGAAACTTTTTCGTTTCACTAATTCATCTTCTCTTTTCTTTCCTTTGATTGTGACACCATTTGTCTTCATTAGATCAACAATGGAAGTCAGTTCTTCCCACGGTGCTCCTCCGGTAGATTTTCCGGTAGTTAAAGGGCTATCTCCGGCAATGGGAGGTGTGGAACAGATGGAGTCCGGCAAAATTCCGTCGGTTGACGAGGTGGTTCCTCGGCCCGGAGGTCTGGCGATTGATTTCACCGTCGACGGTGGAGAGGAACCGGTGGATGAAGCCCCGTTGATGGGGGAGATCGGGATGGCCCGATTGCTGCCCATGCAGACATCGTTCTCGCTCGAAGCGAGGAGAGGGTCCACACCGACCGCAGGGGATACTGCGTCTCTTACGCCTATCCTTTCAGGTTGGGGTTCAAGATCCCGCTCCCAATGCTGGTGGTGGATTTCTGCCGTTATTACGGGGTGTGCCCGGGTCAGCTCACTCCTTCCCTCTACAAATTATTGGCGATGTTCATCAAGTACGCGGAATTGGCCCGTAGGGAGGTCACGCTGCAGCATGTGCTAAGTCTCTACGCTCCCCAGAGAGTCCGCGGCACTATGATTCGGGCGTTCCCTCGTGGTCGAGGGGCCTGGTCACGAGATTGGATGACGAGGTCGACCCCCGCCCTTTCGAGCACTTCTTTTATATCAGGACCCAACACTTGGTGGCGGATGCTACTGGGTTCCCAGAGGCCTGGAACCATGCACGTAAGTTCTTTAGCGGTTGAATTCCTCTATTCCCCTCTTTATGATGTGCTTATGAGCGTTAACTCGTGTCTTTTTTGTAGCCGACAGGTCACCGCCACCCCCATTGCCTTGGATACGCGAATGGGTCGAGGCCGTACTCCCCCATACGAGGGGGATACGTACGTGGGCGTCTTTCTGGGAGAGGCATGGCCGTAGGCCTGTGGCAGGTAAAAAATTGGTCTCTTCTTCTGTTCCGCTTTGTTTCGGCTTTATTCATTAACCTTGTTTTCTTGTGATTAGGGAGGATGCGCCGCGTCAGGGCCCCTCAGTTGGCCTTCCGTCGGCCTGGTGCAGTTGCTCGGCTTACTGCAGCGCCAGTGCCGCGCTCAACACCGAGGGCGGCATCAGTCGAGTCTTCAGCGGTTTCTTCTCCATCACAGACCCTACTTCGGGACGAGGGGCCATCGGGGGTTGTGCGCCCTAGAGCGGAGTCGTCATCAGATGGGGAGGAGGAAAGGCCGTTGATAAGGCGTAGGGTCGCGTTCGCGCCGGCTCCTCCTGTGGTAATTAATTTGGACTTCCCGCCGGCGGACGCGGAGAGGAGTGCTGCTGCGGTGCCTGCCCCTGAGGGCGGACAAACAATGGGGGTTGCCCCGGTTGGCTTAGGCCGTGATGATACCGTCGCTTCGGCGGCTCAATTGGTGGTTCCAGTCGCTAAGACGGGAGGTAGTTCCTCAGCGGCTGCTAATGTGGGTGAGGAGGATGAGTCTGAATCCGACTTGGACCCCGACGACGTCCGTATGTTCCAGGAAGGCTCCACCAATGCAGCGGTGCGCGCAGAGGGGCGATCTCGTTTTATCGAGGTTCCCACGGAATTGAACTTATTGCTCCAAGGGGAAAGCTTGGTGCCGCAGTTCGAGCTGCTGTGCTCGGAGGCCGAGAATACGTCGCTGAGGGGCGTTACGGATGTCGGGCTGATGAATGAAGTAGCCGTGATGAGCTTGAGGGTATGTACTGTTACGTCGGTTCGCTTCTTCTTTACCTTAGGTTTATTCTTTTATTCTGATCGTTGTCTTTGCTTTGCAGTCTTATCTGTTGGAGGTGGAGAGCATCCGTCGAGCCAAGGTCCGCTCGGGGATATTTTTG